GGTTGAGTAGCCGCCAGATCTCTCTCTTGCTTTCATCGATTTGGACACAGTCCATTTCTCCTGCAAATACACCCCAAAACTATGAAGCAATTGCTCATACATATAGCCTGGTGTTGCTATTCTCTCGAACCAAGGTAATTTCTTAATGTATTGATAATAGCATTTGAATTTGCACCAGTGATAATAACAGTTTCAAGCAATAGCAATTGCCTATTATAGTTTGATATCTCTATTTGTGTCTACCATCGATGTTTAAGCTTGTCATTTCTCTAACTGCATATGAACACGTTTATTTTTATTGCAAAGTATTTTACTGTCCTTGAGATAAACTCTAACTACTACTGCATACCACAATTTTCTCATGGACTTTAATTTAGAAGATACAGCATCCACAAAATTTAATCATCGATAGGCTTTGTGAGAAGTGAAGTGATGAAAATTTAGGTTTCCTAAGACTTAAATTGTTTTCACCAATTATGTGTGGATCATGAATGGTTGTGCAGAATATTTCTGTTGTTTATTTCTACAAAGGCTCTATCTTCTCTTTTACCCCTCTTTTTTTTCGTGGTCAGTTTCTTAGTTCTATTACATTTTATCTTGTTCCACAGAATTCTAGCGATGAGGCTTTGATTAGAAGTTTTCAGCTTGCATTTTCCTTGAGAAACATTGCTCTTAAGCAAGAAGGTAAGTTCCCAGAGTTATTGTTTTGTGGAATGTTGTTTTGTGTTATTGAACCTAGTTGAGTTTCTATCAAAACTAGAAGATGACATACTTTGTGTATTATCTATATCCAAGATCAACAAAGTTGCATAAATCAGATGAGTGAAGTGAAAATAAGGAGACTAAGATTAAACTTTTGAATTTAAAAATGAATCTCCTAGATAATATGATTGGCTTGTGGTTTAGATGATGACACAGTAAAACATTTTTAGTTTGTGTAGTATTTTAATGATGAAGGGTATTTGTGGAAATAATTGTGATGGACTAAGCACAACAAAGGTTGATAGGTTCTTAGGAGCATGGATGGAGCTTTCACAAATATGAATTGTTTTTCACAAATATTTTTGGTAGGTCATTCAGGAAAATCTTTAGCCTTTGTATTCCATCCATATAATTAAAAGAAAAATTGAGTTGTTTCTTAACTTACAGATTTGATTACTGAGGAGGTGGATGAATTTTATCAGTGCATACAGGGTGAATACTGAGTCCCATGATGTTTTGCTGAAAGTAAATGCTGCAGCTTCAGTTTTAAAATTTTGTGTGATTAGAATACAGTCCTCTTGAATAAGTGGCTGGGGTTCAATTGAATTCAATCTAGTTCAGTTTTTCCTGCTATTTTCCAACCATTTTCATGCTAATAAGCATATCAAGTAGTATGAACATGTTAAAAAATTGTGTTCATTGGGTATCATCTCTTTAATTGAAGCCTCAATCTTGCTGTTATTGCAGAGTCACTCTCACCATCACGTCGCAGGTCCCTCTTTACTTTGGCAACTTCAATGATTCTTTTTTCATCAAAAACTTTCAATATTATTCCGCTTATTTATTGTACCAAGGCGGTGCTTACAGAAAAAATGGTATGTGCGTCATTGCTGTTTAAGTTGCATTTGCATTGGTTCACCTTGAACACATCCGTTCAGCATCTGCTTGAAGCTTTTATATTTAAATGTGGATCATGCTTTCTACTGTCACAAACAAATGACTTTTTCTGGTTGCTTTCACGTGCTTTGTGACATATAACCATGAACTTTATGTTTTTTGACGCGGTCTCATGCTTGTATCAGGTTGATCCATTTTTGCGTTTAGTTGAAGACCGCAAGTTAGAGGCTGTGACTACAGATTCTGGCCACCCTGCAATTGTTTATGGATCTAAGGACGATGATAGTTCAGCTTTAAAATCTCTTTCAGAGATAGATGTTACTGGGAACCAAAGCAGGGAATTCTTTGCTGCTGAGATTGCTAAGAGCTTGGCAAATTTGGCAAATGTAAATTATTTATCTGATTTATTCAAGTATTTTTGGCTGTCATTTAGTGCTTATACTGTAAATTTATCACTGTGTGATCGCTATGCATTAAACAGTGACTTGTTCTCTACAGTCTCAAGTATCTGCTAAACGGGAGAAGCTCCTTGACGAATTCTTACCTGATGACGTGTGTCCTTTGGGAGCCCAGTTGTTTATGGATACTCCAAATCAAATAGATCAAGTTAATTCCAAAGATAACTCTCTTGTGGAGGTAAATGCCTTTCACTATTTTTCTTTTCCATTAATACTTGGGACTTGAATTCTCAGAAAAAAAAAAAATTGGTGCTTGCATCATCTTGTTTTTGTTTCGCAGGGCACTCCACTTTTTACAGTAGATGATGTTTTTCTAGATTCATCGGAAGGTCAAACCACTCAGACCACAGAAATTGTCTTCTGTGATGCCAACCTGCTGAGCGTCAATCAACTTCTAGAATCAGTATGTTACCTGTATCATGCTCTCTAGTTAAGAGCTATTTGCTTTTAGAAGTGCAACGCAGGCTTTTGTTGATGCTATAACTAAAAATTCACAATGCGGGTTGGTTTCTCATTGCAAGTTATTTATAGTGTTCAGTCTTCTCTGTTCTTGAGGCCAAATGGTTTGGGTTTGGGACTTGTCTTCGAGCTAATACATTGAAATCTTGCAATTATGCGGAAAAAGGAAAAAATAGTAAAAAGCACGATCACAGATAGATGATTAATGTGTGCAGGTCTTGGAGACGACACACCAAGTTGGACGATTGTCTGTAACTGCACCTGATGTGTCTTATAAGGAAATGGCTCACCATTGTGAAACACTTCAGATGGGAAAGCAACAGAAGATGTCTCATGTGATGAGTGTCCAATTGAGACAGGAGAGTTTGATGAATGTCCCCTTTCAGAAATATGATGACAAGGTGAGGAAGGTAATATCTTATTCTTTGCTGATTTTGGGTTCAAATGGTTGTGTTTCTTTCATGAAATTTCAACCTGGACATACTCGGATGACATACTAGTTATGCATTTATTTTCACTTATCATCCATGTGCATGTGATGTTATGATTATACTACATTACATTTCATTACATTCTATGAAGCTTAGCCTTCACAGTTTTCAATGCGTTGGCATGCTGAATTAATCAGCATGAGAAAATCCCTCACCTTTTGCTAACTGAAAAATGTGCAGGCTACCAATCCTTTCCTTGACCAAAATCTTATTGCAAGCCCACAAATACCGCCAATTGGCACTGTTCAAATGCAGTGCGTGACAGAGTATCAACGTCAGCCTAACTTCTTCAGGCTACCAGCATCAAGCCCCTTTGATAACTTCCTAAAAGCTGCTGGCTGTTGATCGTAAAGAAGTAAGAGAAGCACATTTTTCTGGTTACTCAAGAATCAAGTGATCAATCAGCTCAAAGCTCAGAGGTCATACAGCTACAAGAATTTATTGGTTGATGTTGGTCACAACGTATATATCTCATATTCTATTAGTGTTACAAGAAGTCAGTGATGTGAACAAGTTTGGTTGATGGTGGTTACTTTCGTCACATTCAATTCTTTCATTCTTTACCTTTCTTGTTTCTATTATCTCAATATTTTTGGCAGTGACTGCAAGAGGAAGGTGCCTCACCATTTGCTTCTTGCCCAGTGGTCCTGCAAGAGTGCTTGGATTCCGCTTGGAGTTTTAAAGAATGTAATATGTTTTAAATGTCCATCGTTGAATGATGATGAATGTGTATGTAAATTCTCTGCGTGATCATGTGTACTATTTTGAGATATCAAGCCTATTTAATGAAATCAACCTCACTTGTTCTTCCTCCATGTATTCATAGCAAGAGATACCGAAAACTATGCATTGTCGCCTAGTCCAATCCCTCTAGCATGGTTAGCCATGCATAGTTGGCTTCTGTTGCTGCACAAGGGACGCTCCTGAAAACCAAACCAAAATCTTAGTTTCAACTAGGTCGGCTCGTTTTGCTCGACAGACTGGTTTTTTTTTTTTTTTAACTTAAAGAAGGTGAGTTCAGGAGATGGTTATATTTTCTTAAAAATAAAATAAATTTGATAATCGGGTGAAACCTTAATTAATTTGATAATATAAGAAAAAAAAAGGTAACAAAAACAATTAAAAAATTACCAAAATCATAATTTAACTATTCCAATTCACCACTGGGAAAATGAATTTATGTGTATAGTAATAAATGTACAATAAAAGTGGAAGCCTTTGAGTTTCTTTTAATTTTATTCTCTTTGCACTTCTGGTTTCTCACTTCTGAAAACTAATATCAAACATGATGAGAAATTGAAAGTATTTTCAGAGTCGTGGGAGGGCTCCATTCCTCATGTAAAATCAGTTATTAAAGCTAAATTGTTGGATTGATTCAGTGAACTGCTTTTGTTATGTACTTATCCTTGCTGTGTATTATTTCAAATTATTTTAGATATCGAAACAATTAAATTTAGATGGTCTAACTTGTTAATTCATAATTTAATTAACCAAATCAATTTAAGAAGGTTTTTAATTTTTTTAATCTAAAACAAAATTGTTTTATTTTTTTAATTTTTATTCAAAATCAGATCCGGTAATCTGTGCCCTAAATTAGACCAAATCTTAAGTCAAGTGCAGATTCTATTTTCATGTGAATGAGAAAATAATGCATTGAAAATATCTAATAATTTATCCTCTATTAAGAGTAGAAAAAAAGAACATTATTATTTCTTATGTTCATCGTATTAGGTAAGTTTAAACTATGAGATTTAAAATAATTATGCATTCTATAAGCATGTGTTAAGAAGTTTTTTTTCATAAAGTTTCAAACTTGAACTATCAACTTTCAAGCATTCTTATAAAAAATTATTTTTTTATAAATTTTGTAGTCTTGTGATTATTTTTTATTTGATGAGAAAATGAATTTAATTAGAGATATAGAAAACCCTTGCATCGTCGTAGCCCAATAAGCAAAGAAACAGAGAATCTGGACCAAACAAGTTCAGCCCAACACGGAAAGGGGTAAAAACAAACAAGAACAGGCAACCTCTGTATCGGTCTTGTAAGAAGCTTCAAGCAGACCGCAGGAGGACCCAGATCGCCTTAGCTGATTCGTCACCATCGGTGAGCTCCTCAATCTGTTTGCTAGCCAAAGACTTTGTATCAGAGACTTTGGATAATCTTTTAACGTTTGATTTTTGGTTCATTTGGGTTTCGTTTTGTTGAATTTGATTTTAAATAGATTTCACGAAGGGGGTCGCATCTAAAATTTGAATCTAAATGGTGCAAAACAGAGAGGAATTACTGTATGAAATCTTGAATTTTCAATTGGGTCGTTTTTTTATTGATTTGGGTTCTGGGTTCATGAGAAATGTATAAAAATAATGATTTAGAAGGATACGGGTTTGTGGGGTTCTACTAGGAGATAGAAGGCTTGCTATGTGCGAATCTGTTCATGTTCGTGTTGTTTTCTGCTTTGAAAAGATTAATGAATGGCGTGGGCATGTTGACTGGTGAATGTTTTGGTATGTAAATGCTGTAAGGGAATAAGAGAGGGTTTGTAGTTTGCAAAATGGTAGGATAATGTTTTTTGCTGATATTACTGTGGCAGTGGAAATAGGAAGTCTATGCCGTTCAAGCTTTAGTGTGTTGTTGGAGATTGTTTATAATAATGGTGTTTTTCTGTTGTGGACATACAGGGGATTGGTTGTCTCTTATGTCAGGAAACTAGATTGAAAATGAGGAATTATAAAGCTAGCTAATGCTGCTTTTGGATTCATTTCTGTCAGTTTTTTAATTGATTAATGTTATCATGTCCTGTGTGGTGTGCTTTTTCCTTTTTTTTCCGTCCTTCCCAATAATCTGTATGTTCAAACAAAAACCTAACTCAACCTTCTACCGTTTTATCACTAAATTTGAAGTATTAGGATGCTTTTCCATCTATCAGATGTGGTGTGCATATCAATCTAGTTCATTTGGGAGTTCTTCATGGTGTTTTGACCAATTTATAGCTAAGAATCTGGTAAATATGAATGATAGGTATTTTTGTTCATGTGATGATGCTATATTATGTGATGTATTTTTATTTTATTTTATTCACTTGGCATAACATGAAACCATGGGATGCTGTTACAGACCGCTGCAATATTTTTATGTGGACCTCATGTGGTCTGTGTCCTAGGCTTTGTTTCCTTGACATTACTGCTACATTATCCTTTCTTTTAGAGAGATTTTTTTTTCCTTCGGGTTTTTTTGTTGTTGTTGTATAGGTTTGGTTGCAGGGTAAGCTTCTTTCTTTGTTTGATCTGACTTTCTTTTGTGCATAATTTCAACATGTCTTTTGGATATTTTTTCCCAAAAAAAGTCTCTTAGATAGGTTGGCTACAGCTATTCATGGGAACAGAGGAATGTAGGTCTTACTCCCATGACATGTTTGACCCATTTATAGATGGTCATCTGGATGAGTGATGCTCCTCATAGATCCTTTTGATCGTCAAGATTACCTGTAGTGATATGGGATTAGTTGTAGTTTTGTTTTCCCGTTAGAGCTGCGTTTGGCACAATCTGATATGGAGATGCATTTCTTTTTTATGCTACCATGTGTACAATTTTGTGTTATTAATCAGATCGTTTTGCACTGAAAACTGTGAGTCTAGTTTTTTTGAAGCAAGCTCATAATTGCCAGTTGGCATCCATGTTTTTTTGTTTATTTTTTATGGCTACATGCTTCTTTTGTTTACAAAATCATGGACTGGACAGGCTTGTTCTACGGGACCAACTTTGTTTACTAGCAAACATTTTCTTGTGATGCTTATGCATGTTGACATTTTACCAAGGATATTAAAACTTTACTGAAAAAACAAAAGATGTAAATTTGGACACAAACTTGCAAAATTTTCCACTTTGTGAAAAAAAATTCACAAAAATATATCTTGAAAATTCTGCTTCTATTCAAATGAGGCTCTGCCTCTGCTTGCAAATTCTGCTTCTATTCTAATTCCCCAATTTTAGCTTGGCAATCTTTTATGGTTATTCTCACTATAGAAGCACATTATGAATAAATACCGCTGATATTAATTTCTTTACTAGTTCATTTGTGCAGTTTCTGCTTTCTAGAAAGTCTTCCATTCTTGGAGCTGCCTGGATGCTTCTTTATAAACTCACATTTCTTAATTACCTGAATTTATAGTGTAAAAAATGTCCCAGGCTCTCATAACTGAAGTAATGGAATGTGAGGTGTCTGTTTAGGTGCTAATACCTCCCTCTCATGTGAATGTTTTTCTTTTCCTTCCTTTACAGTTTGAACATGTCAACCAAGTACATAGTATCTGGTGTCGTGGGATCATTTGCAATAGCATATGTTTGTGACTATGTTGTTTCTGACAAGAAGATATTTGGAGGTAAATTTTAGCTGGCCTGAAGATTTAGTTATTTTTTGTTCCCATGATTTAAGGTCACTTGTTTTGAATCCAGGCACCACACCCAGAACAGTCTCAAACAAGGAATGGTGGGAGGAGACTGACAAGAAATTTCAAGCATGGCCTCGTACCGGAGGGCCACCAGTGGTGATGAATCCAATCACTCGCCAGAATTTCATTGTCAAGTCCCAAGATTCTTGAATCCAATTTTAGCTTGTGATATGTCACTTTCAGTTCGTTGGTGTGTTATTTTTGTCATCAATAATGTTTAGTGAGGTTCGAATGCTTGGACACAGCCACGTTTAGCTTTGATGGCAATGGCCCTTGTGCCCTTATGTTTTTATTTGTTTTCTGGATATGGGATTGGCCAGCAATGCTGTCATGGTTAAATCTACATAAACGTCAAGTGACAGAATTCAGAGAATTTCATCATTTCTATTCCTTTCTTGGTTTGTATGTGATTCCAGGAAGGTGACTGGGGCAATTATCAAAGATAGGGCGTGCCTTGAGATTCATGATCGTGCACTTGAGGGAGATATCTCAGCCGCCCAGCATCACCCTTTTTTGTGGTTGTTTCTGGTTACTGTTAAGTTTGACAACGTTTCACTGGTAAAAACAACACAAAATATGATGTTTTAGCCGTGGTGCCATCTACAGTGCACCGCATTGTCAAACATTGTCTTAGAGATATATTTTAATTAATGGTAAAGGAAATCTTATGCCATTCTTACTTTATAAAGAATAATAAATAAAATTATGGGAAACTTTTACGAGGAAGAAGAAACTTATTTTTCTTGGGATTGGGATTGCTTTATGCGAAAAAATCTGAAGGAAAGTTTTATCCTTCTCCACTTGTATCTTTTTTAATACAATTTCTCATGTCAAAGCAATTTTTATTCCTTATACGTGCCGTGTTCTTTGAAAAAAAAGAGTTGTTATGATTTTAAATTATTTTTTTTATTATTTTGATGTAATAATATCATAAATAATTTTTTAAAAAAATATTTTAAAAACAATTTTTACCCATATAAAAATATCCTCTAAAATATTAAAGAATAAATGCAAAAAATAGCATCAATTAAAGTTATAATCTTTGTCATTTATGCTCGAGATTCTTGTTCCCTTTCGGCTGTGGAGTACGATGATCCACACAATGTCCAACTTGCATAAAGAGGAAAGGGGATTCGATGGCAAGTGTGCATCTTGTGTCTGGGCATGCATTCTAAGCTGTAAGTCTCATGCTGAACACTTTCTATTGTCGTTTTTTTACCATGATAAAATTGAAAAAAAAATTTCAAGGGGGTGTAATTTAAAATGTGAAAAAAATAATTATATTTTTTTTTAATGCTGTAAATATAATATTTTCTTGTATGATATGTGAAATAGCCCATCATCTCACATTTTATTCACTAAAAATAATTTTAGAACTATTTTTTTTTATTGTAGATGAATTCAATTATAGTATTTGATTTGAATTTAATTAATAAATAAATTGAGTTTACATGTTTAAAAAACATAAAATTCAATTTATTTTGTTTAATATATTATTCCTATTAACTTCATTTTATTTTTTTCAAAGTCTTTAAAAAACAAAAAAAAATAGATAGATATTTTAAGAAAATTAGTTTTAATATATATTTTTTAATTTTTTTAATTTCAAAGTGTTAATATCTAATTTACTTTAATAGTATTTCTAGAGATTATATTTCATTTAAAATTTAATTCTATTGTAAATATAGGATTTCCATCTTAGAGAGTTCTAAACATGCGGATGAAAAACATAGGCTCGTCGGAACTTAGAGGACTGGTATTGAGAAAGTGTAAACTACAAGGATGAAAATGGAATATTCTTTTCTTTTTAGTGCAAAAAGGTGATCAGTTTATTCTGGAAAGTGCTGAGATATAATTTAATCCTCCTCTCTGTAAAAACTCCGCATTACCTAGAATTTACAAAAAACTCATCACCATCATCAACAAATCCTGAATCGAGGGAGAGAGATTTAGATTTTGACGAAAAGGGTTGAGAAAATGGGCGATCTGGAGACTGAAAAGCCACTGAAGAAGATCGCAGAAGCCTTTAAAGAACTAGAAGCAACAATAAAATCTCAAACCCAAGATGTTGAAGTGGCACCATTTTCTCATGCTTGTTCTCTCGTTTCTCCTCTCTTCGGTTGCTTAGGCATCGCTTTTAAATTCGCCGAAATGGATTATGTCGCCAAGGTAAATCATTCATTTTTATCAATATCCAAAAACCCGTGTTTTTTTTGTTTAAATTCGTGTTTTTGATGATAAAATCAAACAAACAGGTGCATGATCTTGCAGAGGCATCGAAATCGATTGGCACATTGCAAAGTGTGTTAGATAAGGATATAGAAAGGAATTCTGTGAGAAAAGGTGGGAGTCATTCAAGAAATCTTTTGAGAGTAAAGCGTGGTCTTGATATGGTCAGGGTGTTGTTTGAGCAGATTATGGTTACAGAGTATGTGTCTATTGCTTTCTCTTTTGCCTTTCCTTTTGGAAGATAGTTATTGTTACATGAACAGGGTTTTAATAATTTTTCAAGTACTTGATGAAATTGTGTTTGTGAGTTGCTTCGCTTTTTCATGCATAATAAAGGAATAGTTCCATGATTAAGTCTTGATTAAAGGATATTAGTGGTTAGACTGGGGGGTTACTAAGTTATATGATTTGATGCCTGATTTCTTGTGAGGTGCTGTATTAGGTTTCTGCTTAATGTTGATGATGATCATACTCGATTTGGGTTGTTTTGTTTCTATAAGTTTTGATAATTGTTGACTTTGATGTGGTTGTCTTAGCTGTTTGGAGCTGTAGTTTCAAGAATTCAACCTGTTAATGTATGTATGGATGTCTAGTTTCCTGTTTTGTTACTTTTCCTGTAGCTTGTGTGAAGTGATTAATTGTAAAATCATATGCGAGTTTATTACGAGTATTTGGTCTTAAAATCAACTGAATTTTCATCAAGGTGGGTACTGCTGAAGTTTGCACAAATAATATAGCAGGATGTTCCAATTGGCAGGATCTTGTGAAGGTTTAAAGTCATATTTGGTCCTCAATTGCAGAGGAATATAGACAACAGTTGTGGCATTTTCTTCACTGATTAATTGATATATAAACTGGAGAAATTGGAGGCAAATGGTGGTTGTGTTTTAGATTCTTTTCATCTTATGCCATTTTTTATCTTATTTGTTCATGGTGAATTGGGGAAACTGATTTTGGGGGCTAAAGGATTAGGCACTACATAATGGGATAGGGGGCAGAAGTTTTGTATCTGTGATGATGAGCTCGCTTAGCTGGAGGTTGTTATAGTCCAGGGCTTTAGTTTCATGTGCTCATAAAATTGTGTTTTTAGCCTGGGTTAAGGCTCACAGTGGACGGTGTTCTGTATGGGCATCTGTTTGTTTCAGTTCCCTGCATTAGATGGAAATTTTGGTTTTTTCAGCCACCTTAAAATTCCAGTGCCTTTCTAACCGATATAATGGGACATTCTATAGTAGCTGATATGTCCTGCCAATGCTGTTGTAATAGATCATACGTAATAGCAATATGGAATGGTCAATTGTATAATTTCAACTTAACACTCAATTTTCCATTTCAGCTAGTGATTTTGTTTTCCTTAAGGATGAAACTGATATATATCACATGTCTTCAAATCAAATCTACTTATTTCTGAACATAGGTTCAAATTAACATGTTTTTTTAGTTACTGTGTAAAGGTTTAGTGATTTATTAATGCTAGTTTTGCCAAATGTCTCTGTCCTGAATTACTTGTGGATCACTGGGTATTTAATCCCCATTTCTTTGCTGTGTATCTGTGGTTTTAGTGTTGACTTGGTACCGTTATTTTTTTATGTGTGAAGCAATAGATTGGTTGATTTATAAGCTACATGCCTCAATAAACATCCAGTGTGTGGACAGTGATGCTTGTGTTTCACCTTAATTAATACACATTCGAGTTCCTGACCACAATAAGCAAATTATAATTGCAAATTTATACAGACTGGCCTTGATTCTGGATTCATGGTCTTTGTTTATGGCTGAAAAGATGGTTAACAGTTCCTGTTATTCCTGTGTCAGGGGAAATTCTTTGAAGGGCCCTGCTTCGAAGGCTTATGCACAGGTATTTGCGCCCCATCATGGGTGGGCAATTAGAAAAGCTGTGGCTGCAGGGATGTACGCCCTTCCTACTAAAGAACAACTTTTAAAGAAGCTAAATGAGGATGGTGAGTGTTTGGACCCTTTCAAACACTTGTTTATGAATTCAATATCTCATACGTTCTTGAAAGGTGTGCGAGCAATTATGCTGGGAGGATTAAAACCTGTTTTCCAATCCACTTTCTATCTGACTTCATGTGCCATAATTATGCCCGTGGTTATTTCAAACTAAAACGTGTCTGTTCTGCAGGCACTCTTATGTGTTCTAGAATCATTCGAGTTGTATTGATTTCTTCATTTGTTTTTGCAGAAAGCTCGGCTAGAATTCAAATGCAGAGTTATGTTGCTGCATCTGCGCCAGTCATAATGTATGTTGACAAACTCTTCCTCTCCAGAGAATTGGGTATAGATTGGTGAACAATGTAATGCCACTGAAATCCTATTTATTGTGATTGTCCTTTTTATTTTCCTATGGTAAAAACAAGAAGAAAAAAAGGTTAATATTCTTGCAAGTGGCATAAGCTAATGTTTTATTGAATTGCTCATGCAATGGTATGAACGTGTCAAACAGCTATATCTGGAGCCGAGTTTTTATTACTCTGTAGATTGACTCTGTAGCTATATCTATCGTTCAATTTTTCCAAAAGATTACAAATTCAATGATATCTTTACCGTTTATTTTTTTTCTCAAGATGTCGAGGACAAAATGCTTTTCATGCAGTTTAAAATGCATGATTTAATGCACGATCTTGCATTATCATTGGGTCGAATTGAATCGTTCAATCATAAGCTCTAACAACCTGCAGATTTTTTTCAAGCTCTTCCTACACTCCCAGAGATATTGGATCGTGCAAAAAACACTTCTCTTTCAAGATATACTAGGTTCGGAAACAGGCATTGCGAATTTTTTTAATCAAAACTTAAGCATTTGCGAGCGAAAAAAAAATGGTGGGTTTTTAATTGGAGGTGCCGCCACAGAAGATGCATTTGAGATATCTAAATTTATTGGAGAATACGGAAATGGGAAGACTGATCAAATCTATTTTCAATATACAAATGTTTCGAACTCTGATTCTGGGTTACTATGGATTGGATGAGTTGTCTAAGGATACGCGAGGTACATGATCGGCCTACTATTGTTATGGCTGTGTACCGAGCAGAAGCGTTTGCCAGAAGGTAGGATTGGGTGCTTGGAGTCTCTTTAGATTTTATACATTAGGGATTTGTGAAAGTCTTGAATATTCGTGCCACAAGATTTG